TTCCTTCCTTCCTTCCTTCCTTCCTTCCTTCCTTCCTTCCTTCCTTTCTTCCTCCCTTCCTTCCTTCCTTGGGGGGTATTTTATTTTGTGTGGAGATACTTTGCTTGTTTGTATGTCTGTACACCACATGCATGCAGTGCCTTCAGAAACCAGAAGAGGGCGTCAAATCCCCTGAAGCTGGAGTTGTGGATCACTGTGAGCTGCCATGTGGGTGCTGGAAACCAAATCCAGGTATCTCCAAGAGCAACACTTAGGCCCTCTCTCCAGCCCCAGGTGAACACTCTACTTTCTGTGCAGCACTTCATCTGAGCAAGGGGTTTCTGTTTGTTTCATGTTGTTTTCTCCAGACATGGTCTTGCTGTGTAACTCTGGTTGGCCTGAAACTTGCTGCATAGACAACACTAGCCTTGAGCTTTCAGCAATCCCCCTGCCTCTGCCTCCCAAATACTTGTATTACAGGCCTTTGCCACCTGCACTCCAGCCAGATTTTATTTCTCCCAGGTAATGAGTGTGAAATGGTATTTTTACTATTTTAAACATGCATTTCCCTGACTGCCAGCGAGGTGAGCATGGTTTTGTGATTTTGATGTATCTGGAGAAAGACAAAGCCTCCTGTGTTTCTCTGGGTTGTGTTTTCTTACTGACAAACATTCTTTATACTTTTTTCTAATATAATTTTCTTTGCCATAGGATCTTTTGTGAGTGGGTGGCTTTTCCTTCTTAAGGTGCACAGAATTTTCCATTTTACTGACGCTGTTCATCAGTTTCTCCTTTGTGGCTGGTACAGTTGGCCTCTTATTTAGGATGGCTTTCCTCCCCCAAAGTTGTATGAACAGTTTGTGTATTTTGTCCTAGGAGTTTTAAAGTTTCGATTTTCTCACATTTAGGATCACCGCATGTATGTGATGTAAGGTAGAAATGCAGCTTTTGTTTTTATGTGAAGATTGGATTTCTCCAGCAGCTGTTACCCATCTGTCCCCTCACCCCATCCTCCATCTTGGCAGATTTGCAGTGTCTTCATCTAGACATCTAGGCTTTCCTAAAAGCACAGGTCTGTTTTGGCATTCTTTGCCTATCTAGTTGATCTTTTTGTCTGTATTGATGTCACCCTGTGCTGCTGTTATGACCCTTGACCTAGTCTTGTTTGTTCATTTCCAAAATCTTTCGGTTCCAAACACATTTCAGAATCAGCCTATTTAGCCTAAGCAGGAAGAAATAAATGAAAACAACTTCATGGAGATTTGGGGTGGAAGTCTATTGGCCTGTTAGCTTCATTTGAAGAAAGTCATCTCTCTTGGATTGAACTTTCAGTTTGTGAACATGGTTCAGTGGGCTCTTCATTTATTTGGGCCTTTTAGATGTCTTCAAGGGTGGCCTTGGAGAGTTAGCATCCAAACAAATGGCATTTACCTGGTTAGTCACAGTCTCAAAAGGAGCCTCTGAAAGTGAAAGCATGCACTAAGGAGGAGGTTTCGGTTCTGAGTGGGACAACAAAGCTTTTTCCAACCACACTGGGTTGGGGTTCCCTTGAGGAATGTACAGGAGCTTATTTTGGCCACAAAAGGTTAAAGGTTAAAGGTATATATCTCCATCCTGAAACAAGACATGATATCTCTATATGGCAGCATGTGTTCTCCCCACAGACCATTCACTCCTTTTGTAACTTACTTTTGAATCTTGTAGGTTTTTTAAAAAAAATTAAATTGTATTTTTATTCATTTTAAGGTGTTATATGCATGCAGTACATTGTGAAGGTCAGAGGACAATTTTGGGATTGGCTGTCTCTTTCTACCATGAGGGTCTTGGAGACTGAACTCACATATGTCTCCAGGGTTGATGGCGGGGGCCTTTACCCATGAAGCTGCCTTGCCAGCACAAGTCACTGTATGTTCAATGTCTTTGCCCACAGCCTGTGCTTTCTGTCAGGCTTGGAAAGGCTCTCGGTGAGTGCTGATAGGATGCACAGATGGAGGAGGAAGGCAGGCAGGTGGTACAGTAGAAAACCCTACACGAGAAGGGGCAAGCAGGCCCTGGTGGGAGCCCATCCTTCATGAGTTTCCCATTCATCAGCATCCATCACTCCCAGGACTGCTGTATCATGCTACACATCAGAACGCCAGCCTTTTCCAGCCGCCTGCTCACAGTAGATAAATGGGCACTAGGTATCTCTTCAGTATCTGTGTCATATACAGGGTGCTGACTGCTTTGTACCTCTGGTGCCTTTTATTAGGCCCTAACAATTCATTTTCTCAGAAGAGATTTTGGAGCACAGAGACCATGTGAGGGTTCACATCATCCTGTGAAGATCTGAGAAAAGTCAAGACATTGGAGGAGCATGGCTCTGCCATTTGTTGGGACCATCATGTATCTTTGATTAATCCAGGTTTGCAATCATCTGATATTCATCAGAATCATGTAGATTCACCTCTCCTCAGTGTGCCCTGGACACCATGAACATTTCCTCCAGCCTCATGTTTGAGAACGCTCTGCTAGGACATGACTCTTTCTTGCTTTGAGCTGATAGTTGATCCTGGGACTCTGGGAAGAACTTTCTAGTTTTCCACCTCACAGTCCTTGGATACTGGGTCAGTTTTCCCAGAGTTGTCTAGCCACCCTGCTTTCTGGCTTCTTTCTTGTGTGGCCTGATCATTTCCCCCGCTTGTTCTCAAATCCCTGTCATCTACACCAGGGCTACCATGCTTGGTCAAAACACAGGTTTTGGCTGCCTGCTGGTTCATTCATTCTACAAATGCCTGCCTCTTGCTGTATGTAAGGAAGACCGTGTGTTTGAGGGAGGCAGAGATGACAATTGCCAATCTCTAATGCACAAGTGAATCATAACATCCACGACAAGTAGCTGCTTCCCTGCCTGCAACTGGTCTGGCTTCATATTGCTGAGAGCACCCAGCCCGACCCACATCAAACCCATTTAAAAATTTCATTTTCTTGTTCAGAATGTATCTTAAATGACTCACTCAGCCAACAAGACGAGCCAGACCCTGCATCTGTCCTGGTTCTGACTCTGGCAGGGGCTTGTAGGATGGGACAGCTTGTCTTTCTAATGTCACATTTCAAGATCAAGCCATGGTGGTTTCCCTTAGTTACCATTATGCATCAAGCCCATGTGCTTATTTGCATATGTCTGCATTTCTAAATCTTGAGCTTGCG